CGTCTTTTTTGTCGACGGAGAGGTACCTGGATAGATAGGTGCCCGATCATCGAACTAGCCGGCGTAATTAATCAGTGCATATCAGCGGGTATATTCATGTATCAGGGATATCTAAATGGACCTCGGCTCAAGTTTCCCTTAGGGTTGTTTGCCGGTGGACAGTCCAGAGCGACAAGGACTAGACGTAAGGTATACTCTCTCTGACTGACCGACTTTCATCTCCTCATTCTCATCCGGAGCTCATCAAATAGGACTGCCGTGATCGTTTACTCATTCGCTTTTTTTTGGCGTGATTATAAGCTATATATATTATATACTATATATAAACAGAATGGCCGACAATGTGAAAGTCTCCTTCTCGGGGCGTATAGCCACCATCACCATCGACAACGACAAGAAGCTCAATGCCCTTGACCTCGACGGTTACTACGCCATCGCCAATGCCTTGCGAGAGATTGCGCTACGCGATGACATCTACATCACCATCCTAACTGGCAAGGGCCGGTATTTCTCGGCGTAAGTTGAAGAAGTGTTCTCGATCATGTAAAAATACGATATAAAACTGAAGAGATTCTACATCTTGCGATTCATTAACTATCGTATGATATTTGATTTTGCAATGAAGAGGAGCTTATTAGTTGAACGCAAATTATACGACTTTCACAATTTCCATACCGAGTCACCTTCATCTCATTGAATTCCACACATTCTCGTACTCACACTCACTAAACCCGGCCAACCAACCATTCGTCGGGAAATACACTGATACTAACATCCTCATCTCCCCAGCGGCGCCGACGTCTCCGTAGGCCGCGATCTCCCACCCGACGCGGACCTCTATCGGGAATGGCTTCGCAGCTTCGTAGCCAACAACCTAAACATAACCCGCGCCTTCTACAGCCATCCCAAGATCCTCATCGCGGCGCTCAACGGGCCTGCCATCGGCCTCTCCGCCGCCATCACCGCCTTCGCCGACTTCGTCTACGCTGCGCCCCACACCTTCCTCCTCACGCCCTTCTCATCGCTCGGCCTCGTCGCTGAGGGCGGTGCCTCCGTCGCCTTCGTCCAGCGCCTCGGCATCAGCAAGGCCAACGAGGCCCTCATCATGAGCAAGCGCATCACCGCCGACGAGCTCGTCGCCACGGGATTCGTAAATAAGATCTTCCCGTGCGATAGAGGCGATGACGAGACGTTCATGCGACAGGTCTTGCAGGAGGTCGATGACCGACTGGGAGAGCATCTCATCGGCAGTTCTCTGCTCGCCACCAAGGCCCTCATCCGGAAGCCGGAGCGCGAGATCTTGGATCGGCAGAATGTGGCCGAGGTCTTTGCCGGCCTCGACAGATTCGTCAGAGGTATTCCCCAACGGGAGTTCCAGAAGATCGCCTCGGGTCAGAAGAGGCATAAGCTGTGATGAGAGCGATAAGAAAGAGGGAATGAATGGGGTTTAGAGAGAGGAACGACGTATGGGTAGGTAGGTTACTTTACACGAAACAGAACTTGGCTTAATCATCCCGTTAGGGATCACTCTGGAGTTGTTTAACTCTTCTTTTGTACAGATTTCAATATAAATCTCATAATACTGTACAGTTCGACTGGTCGCTCTATTATTCCATATTGTTAGTACTTTATTTAGCCTTGACTTCTTCTCCTTGGTACCCTTCGACAGCTCATGTGCCCCGATAGTCAAAGCACCCTTGCCTCATATATACAAATAGATATATGGATCTCAAAGGGCTGACTGCCTCGGGCTGTAGATACTGCTGCTCGTCAAGGAGACCAAGAAGCCCTCCTTCGAATAGTCGCAATCAGCCACAGTCAGTCCGTTGGGTTCATCTGTATCGTCGGCAATCGCTAGCGACGAAACGAGTGCTGAGAATTGATTGAACCGGCCCGATTTTCGCGTTCATAGACGTAGGGGGAAACAAGGCAAAGGCACACGCTCCGAGTAAAACCTCATGAGAATGGATGGGGTGGTCATTCCCTTGAATTTTGTGTGCTCTGCCAGTTTGGGAAAGTATATACTAGATAGATGTGATCATGATGTGTTGGATCTATGGGAGCCGAAGGAAGGGGATTGCTTCATCACGAGAAATCTATACAAACGGGGAGTCACGATGCGAGCAGCCCGAATAGGAGACTCGTTCTCTTCCAGTACTCGTCTGACGCCTTCCCAAGGCGGCCCTGTGCCTCACTGTCCAATCCTGTCATTTCCAATACTTCCGAAGTAAGGTCCTTCATCGCCTTATCTCCATCGTTGTCGTTACCAACGTCGAGAAAGTGCTGCAGCAGGTTGATGTCGGCTAACCATTGGACGAAGACATCATTGCTACGCCCAGGCGTCTGCGCCGGCTCGACCTTAGTTTCCTCCCCGGCCTTATTGCCATCCGCATCCGTCTCACTCGTCTTGTCCTCACTTATCTCGACTGCGGGCGTCGTAGTATCTGCTTCCAAAACCCTGGTTGTGAGTTCCTTTCGCCAGATTTCCGCAAGCCGTCGGCTGAGCACGCGCTTTAGAGTCTCAACAGCAGCTGGGGTCCACAGATCCACGCCGGCATTACCCATTGACATGGTGATATTTCGTAACAGTTTAAAAGTGCCCGGGGAGGGCTGAGTGGGTAGAGCCGGCTCACCCTCCCACAACGCTCGGCCAACCACCCGTTTCTGGGTCAGGATTGCGGTGGCAAATTCCTCCAGCGGCGTTACAGATACATGTGCCGCGAGCTTTTCGTGAAGCGAAGGGACATTGTGCAAGCCGAACGACTGCACGCCGTCAAGCTTAGGCAAATGACTCCGGATGTCCCTTAGGATGCGGAGGATATACTTGGCAATCTGTCCATCATCCAGTCCATCTTTTCGGTTTTGCCACAGGGTTGTGAGCTGTTCATCCAGTTCTTGGAAAGCCTTTGTAAGCGTCTCATTGAGCCGTGTATGCAATAGTTGCGGGTCTTCTTTGCTTAAGAGACTCTGTCTCGCCTCGATAACCTCTTCGTCCTCAATTTCATCCACATCGTTGTCCCATCTCTGACTTCTGAGTTGGTCTGCTAGGTCGCCAACATTGTCAACGATGTGATGCCACGATTCGAAGCCGACGACAGCGCGGGCAACAGCATCATTCCTTCCGTAGAATCGAGTTATGATTTCCTGGGTGACCTGAGCAGAACTAGCAGACAAATCCATATCGAGTATCTCATCGTCCCACATGCCTCGTTGCCTGTCAGTAACTCCGGATTGCCACGCCTCCAACGTCGTAGCTACTTCGGCTCCAACAAGTCTGAGTTTTACAACCTTGGTTTCTATGAGCTGTAACATGTGATCGTTGATAGCTTGCCGCAGAGACTCGAACATGATAGATGGGTCGAATCCTTTAGGCTTCCCACCATTCCCAATCCATCGCTGTAGTGTGCTCGTTCGTAGATCCATGATGGCTTTGAATTCGGAGATGTTTTCGAGAATCTTGTTTAGACCCCTAAGAATAGTTTCTTGCCCCTTGTCTGCCCAACTTGTGAGCATCTCCTTGGCTTGCTGACCATCGAGATCATCGTGTCTTATGAAGGGGGTGAAGTATCGGATCTCATCGCCACACCATCTCTCGAGGATGTCCAGTCGAAGGCCCTCTAGGGATCGTAGCGATTCATCGGCTAGGAGTGGTTTTCGCTTAAGCTCTAATAATGCATCCGGGAGTTTGTTCGGGATCAGCGCCTGTACGTCCACTAACGTCTTGGTGTATAAGTCGAGTCCCTTCAAGATGTTTCCAGTGCCCTTGTGTTTCTCATGCTCCTCATATTCAAACTCGTATGCAATCGCCTCCGCCCTGAGACTGAGAAAGCGTCGTAGAACGTCCTTGGTTCCAGAGCTTGATGACAGGCTGTAAGCCGACAAGGCTTTCACTGTATCAGTGATGTCTGCCCCCTCTCTGGTCCTCTGCAGCACTTTCTCGATTGCCCGCACTAGCTTTCTCCTTAACCCGTCCAAGCTCTTCTTGGTGGCCTCAATCACGCTTTTCACTTCGTAATCCAACATCTTCAGATCTCCGAAACTAGACACGAGCAATCGACTGAGCACAAAGACCTTCGCAGCCAGCACGAGTCGATCAGCCCTGCCCGCCTCGGCATCCCTAGTCGTGCCCGCCTTCAGCAAGCGACGAACGGCAAGCCCGCACGCTCGCAGAAGCTTGACGCGCGCGGCCTGGCTCAATTCCTTCTCCTTCTCGTCGTTACCGCGAAAGCGACCCAGGCCCGTGGCCTTATTCTCGATGATGCCGCGCCCACACTGGCCGCTCATACGGCCCAACACTTCCTGGGCTGAGATCATATCTGCCCGCATCTGGACAATCGTGTCGGCGGTACCGAGTAGCTGGCGGTAGCTGTTGCCGACCTGCGTGCGCAGACGGGCTGACTTCTCGTCGATCTGAGTGTGTAATGACTTGTGGACGGCGCGAATCTGTGGGAGCGTGTACGTCGTAAATATTTGCGCTGAGCTTGTCAGCGTCGAAGTATCGGGAGTCGCCATATCGGCATAAGAGAGGGTCAAGTTGTCTCTAGGAATTTGGAATCGCAGTGTGTTATCTGCGGTTTGGGCGTTGGGGATGAAGTCTTTACGTCTCGCATCGTGTTAGCATTCCACGTTGTTCCTGGCAATCTGTATCGTGTCAGCTGGGGACAGCTGGGAACTTACCGGTTTCTAGGTATTGGGGATACAACCTTCGAATTAACGATTCCCTACACTATAACTAGCCCGGGTTTCCCGCTGGACAAATGACGTACGGTAATGTGTACGGATGTACAGTCCGTATGACTTGTGGAGCTATGTTCTCAAACTAACTGAACCGAGATACCTACCGATCCAAAAGCTGTAGTAAAAAATGAGTCACATTGTTGATTCCCATCGTTCTGTGTCCTGGCATCTAAAGACACTGGATAACTACAAATGACGTAGTTGGTGGCAGTCAAACGGGATATGCATTTAAACGGTAGAGTTCCCGGGCAAAAAGATAAAAATGATGAGAGTGGGACTCGAACCCACGCGGATTGCTCCACCGCGAAATTTGTTCAACGTATCGGAAATCCGATGAAACCTGAACACGGCGCCATAACCACTCGGCCATCTCACCTTGTGGTCGATGATTGAGGTATGGGGGTTCATGTCGAGCCCAGAACACGACGCAGCTGCCGGAGTCCGAGACCCAGATAGATAGTCTTGTCGCCAAATTTGGGGTTGTGCAGAGCAATCTATCATTTTCACCACACATTCTTTCGTTGAAGAGGATAATTAAACTGAATGGCATGGACCGCAACCACAGTACCCAAGTTGTTTTATTCTTTTGGAAAAAAAAAAGAAAAAAAAAGCAAAACAAAACATGCAAGACGTGTTCCATAATTACGCCGATATACTTCACTTGAAGCCGACGATATCGCCTCGCCACACAATTTAACTACACATACAGTCTGTAGCTTTTCCAAACTGGAGCGCCCCGTCAAAGATGTGCCCTCAGAGTTGCACGCAAAATCATTCCGAAACCTCACAAGGAGGCATCATACAGCACTGGATGGGGAGATATCTTCCTTGACAGATCCTGATACGCCGACTTCATATCTCCATATCGCTATCACGGAACGACGGGTTCGAGACGGGCACTGATTGGCAGACACGCGCGATGCAGCCATATTTCGTGCGCTGTTCCCAACCTAAGCCGTTCTATAGCTTCATTTGCTTAGCCCAGCCGTATTCTCTTATCTGCGCGCCGGCAGGGCAGCTCGAATCCCAGCTAAGCGATCGTCCAACCCACTTCTCGCAGCGCACACGAGACAAAGTGAGGCGATCCAGTTGGATCCTCTTGTCAACCGAGCATTGTCGCCGAGAACTGCCATCTCGCATTGTGGAACGGCTTGGCTCTGCGAGCCCCAGTGCGTCGCCAGCATGAATTTCATCTCTGTCTGAGGTTTCCGCGCGACTTGACATCATCTATATTGCCTATCAAGCATTCAGATATCAGGTCTTGGCTGTTCCACTGCCTCGGACGAGCCCGCACCCTCATCACAAACAGTATCTTAATGAGTGTGTCCAGTCTTGTCCAGTCCTGTCCAGTCCTGTCCAGGTTGGTTGGGTTGGAAGGTCGTGTGCCGGGCGCCCGAGCAGACCCGAGGTGAGAGAATTGGTACTGAATACCTACGCCTCAATACGACACAGAATCAACAGAAGCCAGTAGCATGGTACACAGCCAAGACGGCAGCTCACACTCTGGACGTTGGACGGTGGCATTTTGGTATGACCCGTCTGGAGAATAGCGTGATTGCGCCATATCCTCAACTGTGACTTGCCGTCGACTCTCGAGTTGGGGCGACCCGGTCACTTCTCAGCTCTGTACTGAGTGTCGCCCAAAATCGTATGGACAGCCAGCCAGCCAGCCTACGTAGTAAGGCCTCAAGTCGATTGGCAATCGTCAGTGCCTGTAACGATTCTATGCGACCAACCTGATACGCGAGGCTGATTTATCCGGCTACAAATCTTTCTGATGCTGTCTAGCTCGATGCCAAGGCATGGGTCTCCTTTACACAGGCAAACATGCAACGCTGCCCCTGTTTTTTTCGAAATATGATGTCACTGTTCGAAGGTTTCGGCAATCCCGTGCCGGATCAGTGGCGATGTCTTATCTTCGCTTCTGCCATAGGCCTTCCAGGCTGTCCCTTCGACTAGCGAGCACTATATCGGCGCGTTCTTTTCCTGGCTAGAATGTCAGCATGCCTTCAGTACTGAAGAGTGGTCAGTGTAACTACTTGATGGCAGACGGTGGCTGGGTCATATACGGATCCATTGCACTATTTTGACACTCGGGGGAGTTGTCTAGGTGTATTGTCGTCGTAGCTTTCGCGACTCTTGCTTACTTTTGGTATTTCGAGACGCAGCTCATGAATACTTATTCTGGTATGTATAAGCCGGGGTAAGCAACCGATGACAGGGCTGCTGATGGCTTTAAGTTGTGGCTACCAACGAAAAAAGAATGAGCTGGCAAGGCGTAACCCCTAGTAGGCATTATCAAATCGTGGAGACTGACGACAATCATGCTTAGTATCTCCGGGGCAATGTGATATGGACTCGGCTATGCATGCTGACTTAGTATGCCCGCTCGAGGTCACCAAGACGAACCGCTGGGGAATCAGAGAGCGCCAATTACGCCTCACGGCCCCCTTACAAGGTCAAGTGTGCAGTTTAACCGAGCAGAAGTCTGGGTTGCCCATCACACGTCACCACATCCAAGGTCAGTTCAACTTTGTCAAAGATGTCCTGCGCTAGCTAGCGCCAACCTCGACTTTCAAGTTGCCCCAACTTCCAATTTCCAATTTCCAACTTCCAAGCCGCAGATTCAGCCATAGTACATACATCAGAAAAAAATAGGAGAACTCTCAGACGGTAGACCCCACGCAGAACCCACGGGAACAGACATGAGATCATGAGTGCTCAACGGCATCATCAGGGTTCAGGATCGGTGATTATCCGGTATAACCCCACGCAAGACAAACTTCAACCGGTTTTCTGGAGCCAAGCGATTCCATGGACTAGTAGGAACTACCAGGGCCACCAAGGCCACCGGGGCCACCAGGCACAGAGGTGGATATTAGGACCATGGCTCTGCATCATTTGCTTTATCTGCTCAAGCCATATGGTACGAGACGACGTAATTCGTTCAAAGTTGAAAACCCCTTCAAGGGTACCGTATCTCTTTCAGCATTTGAGACTCGAGGGTAAACAGTGGTGCCTAGGTAGTTTTTACTTCTTCTCATCCGGCCTGCCTATATAGATGGATAGTCTGCAACGGCGCAGATGACCCGTCCCAATCCCACATTCATGGAATCATGGGTGACCGGTCCTATGCGAACTGCGAACTGCGAACTGCGAACGCCATGGTCCGTCACGGGCCCCCGGGGCCACTGGGCCAGAACGGTAGAACCTTCAACCGCCCGTCTTGAAATTTGGATACATAAAAAAGTTCTCTTTCTTATTAACGCAAAATGACGGGACCTCTCATAATCATTGCTCAATCGGGACTACTGCAGGCCGTCTTTTAACGGCAAATCTAGAACTCGAGCGAATGGGTGTGTGAACGCTGAGCGATTCAGGATTTGTGCGTTTTTAAACTCTTCACGCCATTCGTCATCGTCCTATATAGTATAAACACGTCAGGGCCCAGGGGCCAGGGGAAAGGTTTACATAGTAAGGGAGTACTTAGTCTAGGAGTGTGTGCAGTTATGTTTGAGTTTACTCAAGCTAGATACATACTTACTTAGTAGACCTAGATAGTCACCTATCTAACTAGCCATCGCCATGGATTTTGGTTGCCATGGTCACGATGCTTGATTGTCAGCAATGACCTGCCAAAGATCCTCTCACATTGCGTTGTTTTATCTAAAGGTCTCTTTCGAAAGAGACATGACATTACTACCTATTACTACCTATATTGCCTGCCCGTGGACTTATCCCAGAGCGGAAGGTGGTTGACAAATGCAGATGCCTATCAATTGACGAGACGACAATGGTTCCTCTCCTCTGACTCTCTCTCTCTCTCTGTATGGGCGACACTTATGCATAATGGAGTAGCGAGTAAGCTTTCCATAGCCTTTGAATGTCATGGAATGGACTCTGCAGAACCGACGGTAACGGGATGCGGTTACCTATCTCATTCATGGGCTTTCCCCGCATCTTCGTTCTCTTTTTTTTTTTGGGCTGAGGACTGAGGTCCTTTCATGATTCATTCGCAGTAGACAAGACCCCCAAAGGACTAAAGGAAAGGACTAAAGGACCAAAGGACCAAAGCAAGTTTCTGCATTCTCAAGAGGTTCAAAGTTCTTCGCTCTCCCCGGCAAAAAACGGGACCTATCTACATATCCCCGGTTCCTCATCTTGTGGTGGTTGGTGCCGTGCCGTACCGGCAAGTCTTCTTGGTACACCACACACGTTGCTATGGAGACATTCCAGAAGTTTCTACTATCACTATACTTAGGTACTTGATGTGAATGGGGCTGCTGCTCTTAAGGTTTGAGCTTGCAAAAAATATCGAGTTGGTTGGCCGGCCGGAGTTCAGGGCTTGGAAGTTGGAAGTGGGATCATGGATGGTCCCCCGCGGATTGAGTAGACAGTAGACAGTAGATAGCTGGGGATTCTGGACTTTTGAAAGCGTGATCCAAGATGACTATCTACCTCCCATCTAGGTACATCGTCCGTAGATAAGTAGTTACCGTACCAGGTTTTTCGAAATTGAAACCGTTTCTGCCTCGACGCACATACGCACATACGCACATACGCACACACATACTAAGTTATAGATAGTATCATAGGTAGTAAGAAGCAGAACTCACGAGAGCCGGCGCCAACCATGTGCAAGGATGGCCAACTTCCTGCTTTTCGGAGTCATGAGCCCATCGACCCGGATTATGTACCTACTACCCATCAAAAGACTCAAGAGTGTGGGGTTTGGGGTGGGTTCCATGGGACCATGGGACCATGGGTCGGCAGTTGGAACTTGGGGAGAATGAATGTCAAGGTATGTAACTATAGTTATATGATGGCTCACAAAATGAGAGGACTTGGACTTGTCAAAGCAGACCGCCAAGACCATCATCCAACGGTATGATATCTTCAGAAAAAGTCAAGAAATTCCTCACAAGCATAGAATCAGTTCTTTCGGGTGAAATATGAGGCTACATTGATGGTCGCTGGATTGAACCGTGAGGGGAAACCTGTGTACTTGGCCGATACCAGCAATCAGCTTTGAGGGCATTCAGCACGATGGATGTACATATAAAGTACCTAGTCTAGGTAGGTAGTAATAGGTGATTATACCGTCGCGAACTGAACACTGACCAGAGTCGCATCGTCGGTCATCGACGGACCTATTAAAGCGATTTACTACTAGGTAGAGAAGCCTGAAGGTCGGGCGGGCACTGGGCACTGGGCAGAAACGTTGGAGTTAGTTAACCTCAGGCCTACCGCCTGGTTCATTAAATGGCCAAATTGTTGCGCGATTTACCAGATTTGAATATCGGCTCTCCCTCTCTCTCTCTCTCCCAAGTCGTGAGACGGTGAGAGAATTTCGTAGAAGCCTCCAACTAAGAAAGC